AAACAATCGATAAATCTTTTTTTACCACTAAATTAGAATCTCTACATCTACGCCTATGAGTCTATATGACCCTTTCTTTCTCTAATTCCTTCCTCAATAGACATCTTTTTTTTTTTAAAAATAAAATATTCCTCAATAGACATCTACTACTGTAGTTTTGGGGTATATGTAGTTTTTAAATCTACCCTAAAATTACATATATTTATTTAAGCAGTGAAATTAGAAATTTTATTTACAATATTTAAATTTAATACGTATTTGTCTTATATGTATACTTTATTTTTTCGATAAAATTATATTCAATTGATCAATCTTGAATTATTATAATTATCTCGATCAATTTATTTCTTGATATTTCAAATATAAATTTAACACCGTTTATTAATTATTTTGACCATTAACTTCACCAACATTAATTGAACTGTTATTACACCAACAACAAAAAAGAACTGTAAATATTTGCCCGCATTAGGTGATTACACATGACGTGTAAATTTACCTATAATTAAGTAATGTAATGTGGTGACAATACATGAAAACTAACCTAGAATGATTGTATAATTTGTAGCTACCCTCAATTCATTTATTCCTTGATATTCTAAATGATAAATTTAACACCGTTTTATTAATTATTTTGACGGACAACTTCATCAACATTAATTGAACTGTTACTACAACAATAAAAAAATTGTTAATATTTATACTCATTAGGCCATTTTATTATAATTAAATAATATAATGCTTGAAAACTAACATGCTTAGACATAAAAAGTTTTATGTACAAACACATACCATACTTTTTATTGACTTGATATAAAATCTAATACAATCCGTCAATTGTTTACAAAAGTGAAATCAGAAATTTTATTTAAAATATTTAAATTAAATCCATATTTAATTCATTTATATAATTTATTTATTTTTGACAAAATTGTTTTCAACAGATCAACCTTGAATGATTGTAGCTACCCTCAATTCATTTATTCCTCGATATTCTAAATAAAAAACTTAACGCCGTTTATTAATTACTTTGACCAACAACTTCACCAACATTAATTGAACCGCTATTGAAATAATAAATATTTACTCGCATTAGATGATTACACTAAATCGTGTAAATTCACTTTAATTAAGTAATGTAATGTGATGACAATGTTAAAAAGTTTATGCACAAATACATATTATTTTATTGACTTGATATAAATATCTAATTTAACCCGCTAATTTAGAGTAATAATTAAGGTGAAAATAAAAAAGGTGGATCATTCATTTCCTCCTGTATATATTTAAGAACCCGCCAATTTCGTATTCTATACGCGCATGTTACGCCACAACGTTGCCCCACTCCTCATTATTTACCGTTGTCAGACCCGATTATTACTGACAGTAAAATCCGACGGGGCACCTAAAGATTCGCAATCAGCACCCAGCTGCTACATTTACTCATATATAAACTCTTTCTTATTTTTTTTCTCCATAAATATAGTTCTTGTGTATGTTTATATTTAAGGCCTCAATCTTAGCAAGATAAATTTTATTCTTTTTTTCAAAATTTTCGGATAAGCAGGAACTTGTATTAGACTTAGACACCTCCATAAAGGTTTCTTTTCCCTTTTATCAAAACAAAGCAGCAGCTTCTTTTCTTTTACCTTTTTTCGAAGTTGATTCTTATCGTGAATTCAGTTGCATTTTTTTTCATCTTGTATAAATTGGTGATCCCTTTCGTTTGGGGAACTTGAAGAAATTCAAGATGTTAGATGCATGGCTGAAAAGCAAATTCTATGCTAAAAGGTAATAGCCATGATTCTGCAAGGAGGCTCTGTTTTTTTTCTGGGTTGGATTTTGAATTTGTTCGTAATTTTTTTTTTTTGTTTTATGTGGTACAGCAAATCAACAATAAAGCTCACAAAGACTCGAATCGAGATGGTGAAAAGGAAGAGGAATGCAATGTTGAAGTATTTGAAGAATGATATAGCCGACCTCCTTAAAACTGGATTGGATGTTAACGCCTATAGCAGGGTAAGTTTTTCTTTCCCTTTCTTTAAGTTCTGAGATTTGAACCTTGAAATTTGAAGTATCTTGGTATAAGAAATCTGCCTCTAGCCTCTCGTAAGGTCTTCGTACAGTCTAGCCTTCCGAAACTCTGTTTTGTGGACTTTCACAGGGATGTTGTTGTTGTTGTGATCAGCATCTTATCTTATTTTGATGTAATGGATTTTTCTCTCATCAAATATAATGAAGATCTCCGTCCAGAAAATACTAAACAACAACAACAACATACACATTGTAATCCCACAAGTAGCCTAAGCTGATCTTATCAAACCTATGTTGGGTAGATAGGCTGTTTCCCATACACGCTCGGCGTCTTACTGCATTTCACTTGGCATCTATAAACGAAATTGAGTACCTGTTCAGGGGTTTAATATGACTGCTAACATGGATTTTGGAGGGAAAAATTGTTGTGTAGGATGAACCGGTGATTGCCTTGAAGTTGGCAGAGTTAAATTTATTTCATGTAATCGCGAGTCTAGAAATTTAAGTGTCTATTAATTATTGAATTTCTTCTTCTTCCCCAAAGTGTGAATAGCTCAATTTCTTCTAATTTGTGATCTTTGTTATTTGCTACAGGCTGAAGGCCTCCTGGCTGAGATGAATCTCTCTCGATGTTATGATTTCTTGGAGCAGTATTGTGAACACATCTTAAATAATCTATCTGTAATGTATAAACAGAGGTATGTTTTTTTAAAATAATTATTTATATCTTGCTTTTTTCTGTGCTATTTTGATTTTTGTGTACTCAAATTCATGTTAGTTGCTGCTAATCTTCTGGCAGTTTGTTTACTTGATACATGTGTTTACATTAGTTGGCTTGTCAAGATTGTTTAATTAGGCCAATTAGGTGCAGTTGTTTGAACATTGCCCGGCTCTTCAAAAATGTTGTTTGGTGCATGTTAGATCCTCAAATCTTGTGCATTTTGGATGATCTGACACGAGTCTGGCGATATTTTTGGGGAGTTTGAGCAATATAACATTCTATTAGCATTTCATTCATGTATGTTATAATTGCGAGATGAGAGGAAACATTACACATAGCTTCCTTCAGATATTTTGAGCTGAATATGGTGTGATCAAACGAGTATTCCTCAATTTCTGGGTAATTTTTACTTATAGGGAATGTCCTGAGGAGTGCAGAGAAGCTGTGGCGTCTTTGATCTTTGCAGCAGCAAGATTTGCGGATGTGCCAGAATTACGCGAACTAAGAAGTGTATTTACTGAGAGATATGGAAATTTCCTAGAATGTCATGTCAATAAAGAGGTAGTCACTCATGTTTTCTCCATCAGATAATATTTGTCTACAAAATTTACAAATGCAACTTTACTTTTTCTATCGTGATCTGGAAAATAAACGCGTTCTCTTCTATACAGTTTCTCCAGAACTTAAAGTCAGTGCCACCTACAATGGAGATGAAGCTTCAGTTGATGAAAGATATAGCATCAGAATCTGGTATAGAATGGAATTCAAAGGCTTTGGAGCAGAAGCTATACAATCCACTAGTGTCTGAACAAGTAAGCCTTCAATAGAACCTCATAGTATCCTCATTTTTGCATCTAAGCCAACTTGAAATTTGAATTGCTAAAAGTAAGTTTGATATATAAAGAATTGAAAGTTGTTTCAATTTTTTACATTTTGTTATCCTTTCTGATTGGAGTTTCACGTTTAATCAGGCTTCATCTGGATCTTCTTTGATTCTTTTGCAGGACTGGACCAAGAGTCAGAATGATCAGAAGTACAATCTGCACGGTAAGATGGAAGAATCACCTCGGAAGAAAGATTCTGAAGTTGCTAAGTTTGATCATGAGAACGCGAGGCAACTGTCCAAGGATAAATTGGAGCATAATTCATCTTATGGCAGAAAGGTAGTCCCTGATGATGAACATAGTTCGTCAATGAGAAGGAGGGAGAGAAGTAACAGAAGGAGAAGAGATAGCCTTAGTAGAAAAACTGACGATTTGCCTCCAGTCAAAGATATTGAAGTGATCCAAAGGCAACAAAATAAACCAGAGATTGAGATTGCTCCTGAAGAAGAGTCTGATGACAAGAAGCCATTGCATTATAGGTCAATTCTCCCTCCTTATATCAAACCGAGTTTAACAAAAAACACTTCAGATACTGTCTCTCCTACTAGCTCCACTGGAGAAGAAAATTGCAAGGATGATGCAGCTGAAAAAGCCAAGGACAAGCCAAGATCAGCTAGGACGAGACGTGGCACAAAAGTCACAACTGGTGACGATAAGGAACCTCAGGATGAAGAGGAAAAACTGATCGACAGGCTATTGATGTACTTAAGCAGGAAAAAGTACCAACAATCAGTTAACACACCAAAAGAAGCTGCAGTTGACAGTCCTAGTGAAGTGTCAAGGCGGAGAAGTATGGGGAACAGGACGCTATCCCTTCCAGCAGAAAGGGAACAAACAAGTCCAAGGGATCAAAGAAGAGGGCACGCTCGAACAAATTCATTTCAACCTGATATGTTGGGTTCAAATAGACATGTCCATCCTAAGCTACCAGACTATGATGACTTTGTGGCTCGACTAGCGTCTCTCAGAGAACAATCAAGAGAATAGATATTTAATTAGATGAACTCATATTCCTGCATATTACATTTCGTAGTTCATTTGTCATCATATTCTTCGTTTACATGTTAGGATTGTTGTTTGTAAGCAGTATATAAATAGCCCATCTCATGCTATTGTAAATAAACAGCTAAATAAACTCTTTTTTTTAATATATACTGTCCTTCTGTAGAATTTTCTGATTATTTACATCCCGTTAATTCACTAATCAGATTCGAGACACTTGTAATTTTATCACGGAGAGATATTCATTTTACACATATAAGGTCGGAAAAAGTCATTTTCTTGTAGTCAAAATCGAAAAGGGTTATATTTTTATTTTGTAATTAAGTACTTAAATTAAAATATATAGAAGTGAAATCATCTATAGCCAAAATAACGTTTGGAAAACCCCCAAGTGGGTGCGTCGTTTACAACAATTTTGATTCGATGGAGCGCGAAGACGGCGTTCAACAGCCATTGTCGTCGGAGCAAGTGATGAGTGAAGTTCACCTCGGCTGCCCTCCTCACCACTCCGGTCCCCATCTCTCCCATTTTACCATCTCGCTACCGCCTCGCCACGGTAAGCCGAATTTCCCTATTTTCTTCTTCAGTTAGCTCCGAGTTGAACATGAGCCGCCGACGAACAATTCATAGCAGCAAAATGTCTACTACTGTATTATTTTTGTCATGACAATTGCTCGAATGAAACACATCCTCAGTGAACAGTCAACAGTAATGTCCGTAATTGTGTTAGATTATTAAGTTTCATTTTGATTGGAACTCTTATTTCCAATTTTTAGCTCCACGAATAGTCAACAGTAATGTCTAACTTACTTGGAGAATTTTGAAATTCCTTTGTTTCTACTTGTTCTTTACACTTTTCTTCTTTATTTTCTTTTGATTATATAATATTAAACTGGTGATTTTAAATGATAATAGTAAGCATCACGGATGTCATTTGTAATTTGCAAATTAGAGTGACTATTGAACTGAGTGGATTGTTTGATCTGAACAATTAGTAACAGGGGATGAAATTAACTCGTGTGCTGGCTTCTTATAGGAAATGGAGAGCTGGAAGCACTATTAATTTTGTTGTTAGAGTAGCCTAAAAATCTGAAGCGATTGCAGAAGCTTGTTGGAGTGTATGTACATACTAGGAATACTGTGTTAAGGATCTTGATAGTATAAGAACTTTTAAAAGAAATTGTATTTTTTTCGACTTTGTAGAAAATTCCATTTTGAGAGGAAATACTGATGCAGTTGAGGATATGTCAATTTCTGCATCTACCATGTTTGACTTGGATGAAGATGGTGATCTTATTCTAACACGGCGCAAAAGTAAGTTATCTGCACCTAAAAAGGAAGGCTTTTATCAAGAACTCTCTTTTGTAAGTGTAACTTTTGTCCACCATATATTAAAAGTTACACAATGCACCCGTCTTTTCAGCACCTTCATTTGGTTTTGTACTTTTAAGCCATTGTCGTATTTCATCTTAATATCTATTTACTAGTTGTTTTTTAATGTCAATCAGTGTTTGTTTATGAGCTTTTCATCTCGGTGCGTACTCTTTCATGTTATTTCATCTGCTTTTGTAATCTAACAGTATTACTGGTTAATGATTAAAATGGTGGAGGTATTCCAATGGAACTGTACGAAACATGAAAATTTGTAGTTAATGTGAACTTAAGCTGATTTAGCCTACAAGTAAATGATTTCTGGCTTTATTTCTGCGATCGGTTTGAAAATCATTGAGTTTGTGAACCTTTGATCTATGTTGATCATAATAGAAGCGTCTGAAGTTCATCTCAAGTGAACAGACATAAGCTCTCTCTTTTCCCTCCTTATAAGTAGAGTGAACAAGACCATCATGAAAAAGTACTCCCTTCATCACATTTTGTTTTAACTGTTTAGTTTAGTCCATATTGAAAATAATGGCAATGTATTCCATGATTACTTTAATATCACAAACTAACTAATACCAATAGGCAGCAGCTCATGTTTTCTTCTCTTGATTTCCTCAGTATTCAACCATGCTCAGGGAATTCAGAAGAAAGAGTTGAGAGAAGGCACAAAATTTTCCTAGACGAGAAGTGCATTTTTCTCTTAGTGGTTTTATAATAAAATTGGGGATATTTATTGAATTTCCTAAATTACCTTCAGATGAATGCTCTTAAGAAAAAATCACATCTACATGGCTTGAATAGTAACATGGAGTCACTGATTATGTATCCAAGCTTCTCATCACTCCTTCCACCAACATTTCATATCAAATGCCATATACGTAATACCTCGTTTTCCTTCTACTTGCAGAACCACCTAGCCATAATCTTGTCTTAACCATCCAGCATAATATCACTTCATCGATTCGTAGAGTTGGTTTGCAGGTAATCAAAAAAATTCAGAGTTCGTTGGTCCTTATGTCTTGTCTTCATCTACCATTTCTCCATTCAGCTTCTCCCCCCAATATTTAAAAGAAGTATGTTATGAGTCTATGACATTTTCCATATGCTTTTGCTCCTCAATTTGTACGAGGAAATACAATAGCTGAAAACTGTGTGAGCACATCTTCTCTTTTCCGTAAGTGTAAAATGTCCCGAATGTCAGTAATCACTATTATCCTCATTATGCTATCTCAAGTTGAGTGCTTTATGTGCTATTCATTTAGTTGTTTTTTTCCTATTCAGGTTTGGAGAGCAGAACTAGTGCTTACTGATTTTGTGTTGCATCTTATGTCTACATCATCTGATTTTGATAAAGTTGTTGCATTGGAGCTTGGGGCTGGTACAGGTAAGTTTCATCACCTTTAATTTGTTTTGTTCTGTTTATAGTATCAGCATTGCTACCTCTACTCATTGAAAACGTCCCCACTTTACAGAGTAGTGATGCCAAGATCTGTACTTGCCTGACAAAAGTTTCCTAAAACCATAATAAGCAATTTAACAATTAATATGGAAAAGACAAATAAATTGTTAATATTGCTTTTCAAAAACTCTAGGACAAAAAAGAAACTCAAATTTTCTGGTCATATTTTTTTTCCTAAACCTTTTTTCTTGAATTATTTTGATGACGAAGAGTGCTGTTTCAACTTGATACTTGAGGACAATCATTCCAGCCTTCTACCCTTCTCCACTCTAATACCTAGCTTGATGCAACAACCTGGTTTCGAACATGTGGTGTGCAGTGTGCACATTACTATGCCTGGCATGTTGTACTCTCTGCCATTGAACCAAAGCCTTGGATTTTGGGGTACCTTTTTTTCCAAAAATACAACAACTACTATAATGCCTCAATTCTCAGCTAGTTGAGGTGGGCTATATGTATCTCACTCTCCATTCCGCTTCCTGTGGACCCATTTCATTTCTTACCTTGTTTATGTTTTTAATTAATGGACACCTAATCACATAGTATGTACTCCCGTTTATCAAACAGTTATCAACAAATTCATGCTTAAATTTCTCCTTATAATACAGTATGATATACCATGTGGGTCTTGATAAGAAAAGGATATGTGGCTGCAGTTGCAGGACCCTGGTGTTAAATCCCAGAGCCTATCAGGTACCTCTTATTGCAAACCATATTGGGATCAATAAATGGTATCTTATTGGGTCCAGAAACATCGGGATCAGCTCGGTATCCTTTTGGATTTAGAGTCATTATTATTTGGTGATACCTTCCCTGCTGCCATCGCTACCACTGAATAACTGAAATTGTATTCTTAAGGTTTTCATTTGCTTGTAGCTACATCAAAAAATTTCGGACTGACCTCAAGTATCTAGATTTATTCAAATTTAAAGAATTATTATCTGCTGTATGACAAGATATTCTTTCAATGTTTTTATCAGGGTTAGTTGGTATTTTGCTTGCCCGTGTTGCTAAAACTGTCTTCATAACAGGTATACAGCATTGAAATGCTGAAGTTCTATTCTATTTTTTTTCATCTGATAACAATTTATCAATGTGCTATGGTCTGTAGTGTCATGCACAGCATGTTTTCTCAAGTTACTCTGTAGATTCTTTTTTTTTTCCATACGTCTTATCAATGGCTTCAGAAGCTTTTCTAAGCATTAATGTCTTTTTCAAGCATATTACTTGGATTCCCATATATAATCACTTGGGAGATAGGTAACTTTTTTTTTTTTATCCTACATTTTTGTGTGACTATGCATTTTACTTTTTTATCATCGGTAACTTTTTTTTTAATCTTAATTTCACATATTCAAAAGTTTGCAGTGGTCACCATCATTGTTATGATTTCTCATCCTTGTCACTCTGAGGCTGCGGTTACGTCTAGTTGTAGGTTGCCGACCTTGGTGATGAAGAACTTAGCGACAGTGGAGGGTGAATCTTATTGCTGCTTTTAGGGGGCTGCTTATTATTTTATCTTTTTGTGCAAGTAAATAAGTGAGACTTAGTAATTGGCACTTCCCATGCAATACATGTAGGTGGCGAGAGCTCCAGGCATAGAAATGTTATTTGGTTATAGGTCCTTTAATTTAAGGCCATCTGCTATCAGAACTTCATTTAGCATATTTTGGAATTTACACCAGTCACCATCAATTTTATCGTTGTCTTCTTTTTTCTGTTGCAATTGCTATGAATTGTCTATCCTTAAGTTAGAGCACTATGAACCGTCTATCCTTAAGTTAGAGCACTAAGGATGGCATGCTTTTGTCACATTTTCTGTTTAATCCCCAAGTTGTATGTGTCAGACCATGGAGACAAAGTACTTGAGAACTGTGAGAAAAATGTGGATCTTAATGCTGAAATATTCCATGGGAAGGCTTCTGTTCATGTACGTGAACTTGATTGGAAAGATTCATGGCCTCCTCAAGAGGAGAATACTTCACCATCTAAAGGAAGGTAATTGATTTGTCTGTACTATAAGAGACAGCTAGAGTTGATAACTACCTTTTGCTAACATTTTTGGGTGGTTCTAGCAATGATAAGTATAACTAGAATATAAGCACTAAAGCAGATTAGCCAAATTTGTCCAGGTACAGCTGGACCCAATCAGAAATCGAAGAACTCAAGAAAGCTTCTTTGCTTCTGGCTGCTGATGTCATTTACAGTGATGATCTGACTGATGCATTCTTCAGCATCTTGAAGAAATTAATGTTAGACAACCCGGAGAAGGTACCATGAATGAATCAGGAGTACTCTGCACTTTTTTTTGGTGATGGTGGTGTCGGGACCAACTTGCACGTACCTCTAGTCATCCAAAACCTTTTAAACATTATGTTGTTGGCACCTTCAAGAGTGGAAGATCATAAAAGCATATTGGTTGACTGATTGTGTTGTTGGCCTTTACTTCAGGTGCTATACTTGGCTATGGAAAAGCGTTACAACTTTTCCCTTGATGATCTTGATGTTGTTGCAAATGGATATTCACACTTCCGTAGTTACCTGATCACTGAACAAGGTCAGCACGAAGCTGCAAATGGATAAAAAGTTCTTTTCACTAATTGTTGGTAATTCATCACTAATATATGTTTATGATATGTTACTATGCAGCCGATGATGCAGGATGTAAGCAGCTCGATAGTGCATCCGAGCCCTTCTTTGTTGGTGAACAGATTGATTTGAGATACATTCCATGTTATGTGCGGAATTACAATAGAGGGAATGACGTTGAACTTTGGAAAATTAAGTTAAATCATAAAGCACTCTCCTGAATTGCGTAAACACCTCTTATTGATTACATTCATCTTCAGCAGCAATGAACTTGAAATTCATATTCACGCTCTATTAGCATCACCTGTCAATTTTGTAAAACAGATTGGTATACCGGCAAGTGGTTTGTTCATGTGGAGAAAGGGAAAAAAGCACCAAGCAAGCAATTTGCAGGTATAATAAGAATAGTAGTGGTTTCAGAAATATGACTTCTCGACTTTTCCATAGTATTTTATTATAGAATTGAGATGTTCGAAGACGCGTCACATGCAATATTAGAATCTTTGAATGGTGCTGTTTTTAATTGAGAACCAACTTTATACTTTTGATGTGCAAAAGCTAGCAAAAAGTTATCCAATCCTCACCTTTCCTTTCTGTTGTTGTCTTTACTTACTAAGGGAAGTTTTGTCCTTTTTATTTGAAAGCAGAATTCCGAGCCAATTTGTATATATCTCGACTATTGTATAAGGTATTAGTTATGTACTTGCCACCGGCACAAGTGCCGAATTAAAATAATCGCCAATTGATTAAGGTGTCCCTTGAGTCACTAAAAGGAAAGTTAAGTCCAAATTTTCAACTATATACTAATAAACAAAACAACTGCATGCAAATACTGGAATTGCTTCTTTAAATAATTGCACTATTATATTCCTACCTAAACTTGTATTGAAAGCTTCTGCTCAACCCCTCCAACACTAGAAAAAGTAATTAAAAGGAAAAGAGAAGTAAAAGTAGAAAACATGTATTGTTCTAATACATGTTTATGATAAAGTGTTGCTCCTATATTTGTTGAACAACTGGAGCCCAAGACTCATTAATCTTAACTGCCCTCTTGCCTTTTGTAGTGAGTGACTGAGTTCTAGGTCCCATTTTCCCTACTTAACAATTAAACATATCAGACCCAAAATAAAACTCATTTTATGTAAAAGATATGTCGAAAAAATTGATACGTATCTATAAGAAGTCATATAAAATACTATATAGAAGGGAGCTTATTTTGGGTTACCGAACAAATCACCGATACGTAAACGGGGAAGTCGCTGTTGAGGATTAAGTAGACGGCGCCGTTAAACGTGAAATTTTCATTTTTTTTCTTATGTAGTTTTGCTTAATGGATTCGCCTTTTCTTTAGAAACAAAAAGCAAAAGAGTATTCTCTCTCTGTGTACAGAATTTCCATGTCTATTACTCTTTTTTTCAATTTCTGCACAATTCTTCAGAGCTGATCCGATCTAAATTCTCTCCACTTCAGGTATCATCTTCTTCGTGAAATCTCTTCTTCTGTAAATTCTTGCATATATATGGAGTGTTAGTGTTGTTTGCTTCTTCTTTACAATGGGGTGTACGCAATCGAAGATCGAGAATGAAGAAACTGTTAATCGATGCAAAGAGCGAAAGCAGTTCATGAAAGAGGCTGTATCTGCCCGCAACGCCTTTGCTGCAGCTCACTCTGCTTATACTATGTCCCTTAAGAACACTGGTGCTGCCCTCAGCGATTACGCTCACGGTGAGGTTCAATTTCCCTCTACTGCTGCCGTTGCCGCCGCCTCCTCCTCTTCTTCTCCCCTCCCCGGTGGTACTCCTCCCCTCTCTTCCGCCCCTATAGACATGCCTCCTCCACCTCCCTTACCGCCTTTTTCCAACACCTCTTTCCCAACTTCTCCTCTACAGCGTGCGGCCACCATGCCCGAAATCTCTATCCCCACGCCCGACCCGAAACGATCCGATATGATTATCGAGGAGGAGAACGAAGATGATATGGAGACTGAAAGCACGCATAGTTTAAGGCATCGTAGTAGTAAAAGTAGCGGCGGAGGCGGCGGCGGAATTGGGGGCAGAGGTTCAGCATCTCATCGACAGGGAATCGAGGATGAAGAATTGCCGACGCCTCCTTCTCCACCTCGGACACTGCCGCAGAATAATCGAACGCCGCCTCCCCCACCACCTCCAGATAACAAAGAGATGGCCTCCATGTCATGGGATTTCTTCTTTCCTTCAATGGAAAATGTACCAGGGCCAACTCTACAAGAGGTAGACGAGGGTAGGATGGAAAGAGAGGAACTTGAGCGGAGGATGATGGAGGAAAGGGCCAAGAGGACTGAAAACAATCGCCGCACTGATGAAAGTGAAAGAGCAAGGAAAAATGAGATGCCAGAGGAGGCAGAGGTGATGGAAACAGTAGAGGAGCCTCTGTCACAGCCACCTCCTCCGCCTCAGGCTGCTACGAAGGTTGTGAAAAGAGTGAAAAATGTTGTTCCAGTAGAGAGTAAAAAGAAAGGAGGCCAATTTAACCTTCTTCAGATATTCTCTGAGCTGGATGATTGTTTCCTTAAGGCGTCCCAGAGTGCTCACGAAGTATCTAAGATGCTTGAGGCAAATAGATTGCATTATCACTCAAATTTTGCGGATAATAGAGGTACATTCAAGATCTCTCTAAGAAATATTCAGTTTAATTAGTAGTTTCTTTTTATGCAGGATTGGCTTCATTGTTACTCAAATGTTCCCAAAGTTGCAAGCCTTGATCAAGTTGTGGTTAATTTATGGGCTATTTTTTAGTGTGATTTTAAACACAAAATTTGATGTTTTACTTTCTCAATGATTGTCAATACACAATTGGGTATGTTGTTGTTGCTTAAATCTCTGTAATATTTGCTTCTTAGGACACATTGATCATTCTGCAAGGGTCATGCGCGTCATAACATGGAATAGGTCCTTTAGAGGTTTGCCAAATGCCGATGATGAGTTGGATGACTTTGATTCAGAAGAACATGAAACTCATGCTACTGTGTTAGACAAGATGCTTGCCTGGGAGAAAAAACTGTATGATGAAGTGAAGGTGTGTTTATTTATCACTTCCTGGTTTGCAATGTCTGAATACATTGGATCCTCGTTTTTTCCCTCCCAGCTCCAGGTGGCTTCATCTATGAGATTTTAGGGGTATTTTTCTGAATGTTTCTTGTTGGAGTCTATACACACTTGTAAAGCACCTCAAGGTGATAATTTAACTAAAAAGACCTCTGACTCGAGAACATTGGTCAACATTTCAAAGAATTTGAAACTTCTTATTATGTGTCACATCAATATTGGGGTATATGAGTTACACCATGGTGTTGATAAGTGCTAAATGAAGCATTTGTGTAGCATGGAGTTCCTGCTAAACTAAGGTATCCTAATAGAAGATCTGAAGAAGCAGCTCCACTCAAATATATTCTTAGCTGTTATATTGAGGTTGAACATGCCCGGTCAGCTTGATGCTTTGGCCTCTGGTAATGATACTCAATATAAAGCACATAGAGTTATTTCCAAAAGCTGCTATCCTGTTTTTGGTTGATACTGTATAGAGTGCTTTATATCTGGGTATCCAAGAACACAGAGTTTATGTTGTGGGGGTGGGGGTGGGATTGGGGGTATAAAATGGGAGGGTGGACCAAATGTAGGCTGGACAGAATGGCTAAGTTAATAAACGGGTCAATGACCCAACCATCCCAAAGTTTGCTTGGGGTAACATGGGCTAAACAATGGTTATAGCCCAATCCAGCTAACCTAAAACATCTTTTCAATTATTTTTTTTCTAAAATGATCTCGTCGTCCATTTCCCCCCTCTTTCCTATTCAAGAGTTCTCCCCCATAACGGCATATTATCTCTCTAGATAGCCAATGTGAACAATTCAATCAACTTGTGTATGAACTATGAAGCATATTGAAAGTCTTGTAAGTTGTAACTGTATGAGGAAAAAAATTTCAAGTAGTGTAACAAATTGTTAGATATTATTGGCTTGATTGGGTTTAGGTGAGTGCCTTAAAGCGAAATACATGCAGAAATCTTATATATAGTTGTACTTTCAAAGAATGATGTAATATATCCATATAAACGTGGTCATACCAGCAATATTGTGCTTTCAAAAGTTGTCCTGAATTGAGAATGTTCTCAACAGTTTCCAGAGTTGTCCTTTACTGATTCAATTGCTCTAAGACTTACCTAATCATATTAAAATGGAAGGACCATAAAGTTTTCTCGACTCTCGTTAAATTTCTAAGTATTGATCTTAAGATGATCAAAGCTTAACCTTACAGTTCAGACCAAAGTTATTAATATAAACAAACTAGAATCTTTAAAAAGAAAACTGTGCTTCTAATACAACACAGATTGAATTCCAACTGCAGTGTATCCTACTTTAACTAAATATAGACACTAGTCTTAAGTGTCTGCTCCTTTAACCAGTCAAAAACCTAATTGGCTGTGCAATTCAATTGTTGAAGAAGAAGAGTTGAGTTCTGCTACCATACTTTTTAAAGAAAATGTACCAGGATTTTCATCAAGATGATGAAGTGAGGCAAGCATAGGAGTCATCAGAGGAATTTGAGAAGAGAGATAGAGACTGGAAGAGAAAGCATTGGCTCTGGTCTGCAGAATGATGGGATGAACTGATGGAGACAAATTTGGGTCTGGGTGGTTGGTTAACCCATAGGGTTTTAGTTGGTTTTTAATCCTTGGTTTACATTGGTTAAGCCATTAAAACCAATAGTTTGATGGTCATTTTGAGTTCACTTATTTTGATCCATCTACTCATAGTTTCTCGCCCAACCCGCCCTATTTTGGATGGATTGGGAGGGTTACAAAATTATGGGTTAGAATAGCATCCTCTAGAGTTGACAAAGTCTTCTTTATGGTACCCTTCCCATTCCGGATAAGTTCAGAATTATGGCTAGAATAGCAACCACTAGAGTTAAACAAAGGCTTATCTTTTGTTACCCTTCTTCTTCCAGAGAAGTTCAAATCTGGAATTAGTTAGCATATGCAGTGAACAAGTGAAACAATTATCTATTGCTCAATCCATCTACTACAGCAATAAGGCATAGAATAATAATGCTCTGTTGTGAAAGGCGATCACCTCATCGCCAATGGCGAGAGGCGAGGCGAGGCGACCCTTCATCGCCTTTTAGCTTTGTGGTGAGGCAATCTTTGAAAGGTGATGCCATGCCGACAAAGGTGAGAGGCGACCATTGTGACAAAGGCATCACCTTTTGTATTTTTTTTTTTTTTTTTTTAAAAAGGCAACCAATTTAGGGTTTTAAATGTTAAAAGGTAATTATAGGGTTTTCTTTCCAAATTTGCACGGCTGTACTCTTAGATTGCGACTGTGACTCCAACTAGTCGTCTCGACTAGACTTCTCCGGCGACCAGCTAGACTTTTCCGGCGACTCCAAAGTCCAACCTATACGTATTTCTTCTTCTTCTAATTTCTTCTTCTTCTTCCTCAGATTTCTTCTTCCTCTGTTTCTTTTTCCTTCTTCTTCAGAGTTACTTCTACCTCTGTCTTATCTCTCACTGTTTTGGCTTTTGTTATGTTCTTTTCTCATTCAAGTTCTAGACTTTTGGTATGTACAATCTATTTTCAGTTTTGGAATTGAAATATTTGCTAATATGTTATTGCTATTGAGATTTTGATTATTTATATTTTCAATTAAATATTATAATTTTTTGGTATTAATTGGCGCTGCACTTCAAAAAGGCGTGCGCTGAGGCAGACACTTGTCGCCTTTCGCCGTCCAAAACACTGCCTCTCTCTCTCCAGCAGAAATTTCTATGTTTGCATCTGTTTTACCAAGGAATCCAACAAACCCTGCAAAACTGATGTTTATTTATTATTGCACTTTCTTTTAAATATCTCTTGAGTTTCTGGGTTGGTAATGTGGAGATGTAGGAAATGAAGGAAGAAACTTCCAACAGTTGTCATGGTTTCACTGTTGAAAGTTTCTTTGTGAGGTGCAATTTTTCTGAGAACAAGTTTTGACCTAGTCACTAATCTTTTTGGGGGTTTTGCAAACTTGACCTTTACTCATAGATGTTGAATGAGTATGATAGGCCCTGAATGAATGTCAAAGACGATGTTGTAAAGCATAATTCTCCTTCAACTCTGTCTTCTCAACAAATTGTCGTTCTCTGAACTAGTTTCTTCTCAACAAATTATCTTTTATCAACTGTCACTTCAGAATCATCTTTGGTTTCTGTCAAGTACCCTAGTAGAAGCCCCTTCGGATTAGGATAATGTCCTCTGGTGCTGTGTGTTTACTTAAATTAGCATCTCAGTCATCAAGGACATATTCCCTTATTTGTCATGATCCTGTTTCTGTGTTGGAACTCTTCTTTTGGTTTTGCGGAAGTTAGTGAATTCAAGTTTACTTATGGCATTTAAAATTATATTATGAAGGTTTCAAAGGAAATTATATAATGCTATTGGGTTTGAACTCTACTAGCTGATGTGCATGTTTCTCATGGATTTCTGGTGATCCTTCCACAGGCAGGAGAACAAATGAAACTTGAATATCAAAGAAAGGTCGCTTCATTGAATAAGCTCAAGAAACGTGGTACAAATACAGAAAGCTTGGAGAGAGTGAAAGCTACAGTAAGTCATCTACACACAAGATACATTGTCGACATGCAGTCGATGGATTCTACTGTTTCAGAGATAAATCGGTTACGTGATGAGCAACTTTATCCAAAATTGGTTGATTTGGTTAATGGGTAAGTCTTTTAGATGTGTGCATAGGCAAAGCCATATTGAAATCTGTTGTTCTTGATGGAACGTCGCCTATTTGACAATCTGTTTCCTAAAGCAAAATTTTCTTCCATTGAACTTTCTCTAATTTTTTTTAAAAAAGCTCTTTCATCTGAGATGATTAGGCTGACTGGCTAGTTCTGAGTCAAGGTCTATTATCCGTTACCATGTCAGTATGTCCCCAAACAATTGTAATTTGTGTCGATAAAAATGAGACGGTTGTTGCAGCTGTTCTTTTTAAATGTTGGTTCAGTTCTCCACTTTGGCCACTCAAAATTGTCAACTCAGAGATTAATCCGTAGGTTGTCCTGAAAATTTTTGTTATCAATTGCAGGATGGCTATAATGTGGGAGACCATGAAAGGATATCATGTAAGTCAGTCTAAGATTGTGCAAGCGCTGAAGTCTTTGGATATATCTCAATCCCCTAAAGAAACAACTGAGCACCATCATGAACGAACTTTGCAGTTGTATGTTGTTGTCCAAGAGTGGCATTCACAGTTTGACAAATTGGTTATCTACCAAAAACAGTATATCAAAGCTCTTAACAGTTGGTTAAAGCTAAATCTTATCCCTATAGACACAAATCTGAAAGAAAAGGTTTCATCGCCACAAAGACCCCAAAATCCACCAATTTTGGCACTTATACATGCCTGGCACGATTATCTTGAGAAGCTTCCTGATGAGTTGGCTAGAACTGCTATTTATAACTTTTCAGCTGTCATAAATACCATCTTTGAATACCAAAAGGAGGAGATGAAGCTGAGGGACAGGTGTGAGGATACTCGGAGAGAGCTCAACAAGAAGACTAGGCAATATGAGGATTGGTATCGCAAGCATATGCAGCGTAGAACCCCAGATGAAATAGATCCAGAATCGGCGCAGGAAGATACTCTTGTGGTTGATCGGCAGCTACAATTAGAGGCGCTGAGGAAGAGGCTTGAGGACGAGGAGGACTCATACCAGAGGCAATGTCTTCAGGTGAGAGATAAGTCTTTGACAAGCCTGAGAAGCCGCTTGCCTGAGCTTTTCGGGGCAATGTCAGAATTTTCTCTTGCCTGTGCAGATATGTACAGAGACTTAAGGTCTATCGCAAAGCATCGTAATAGAAATGGCAACACATGATTTTGATGACACTGTATACAAGTTGTAGTATAAACCGTGTACTCGTTTGCATTGCCCTTTGATTGATAGTTTATTTCATTGCTTGTACTGTTCTCGTATATGGATCAAAGAAGATTTGAGTTTACGGCAGAATTTGTCAAGAACCCAGCAAGTTCAAAATTATGTGCTCTCGGTAGACACAGCTGTGCCAATTCAAGTCTACCAAGAACTTGAAAGAGCAACAGGAACTTCACCATTCTCGTTTATGAATGACGTTGGCCTAAAATATTCTTGTTATATGACGTTGGCCTAAAATATTCTTGTTATAGATCATCTCAAAGGATGTGAAAGTTATAGAAATTAGAGGTCCAAATAAATGCTTGAGAATTTTGATTAGCTAATGTAAAATTACAGAGATTTCTAATTAAGGAAACTTTATCTTCTTGCCTCTCGCTTCAGGTAGATGCAGGCTGATTTGATTTAATCATGGTTTATTGGTTTTGAAGGCTGGATTTTGCCAGTTTTATGCCACAAATGATGGATGTGCTTGATGTTGAGTTGCAAAAAGGAAAAAAGAAAATGTGAAAGCAACTTAGACATCAGATTGTATTGCGCAAAGTTTGTTTTAATTGTTTATATCGTTAAATCCATCATTTGTAATGTAAAACGATCTATTCGGTATATCATCATATCGTTATCTTATTTATTTCTCATTTTTTACTATACTTTATTTTACAATCTTATTTTATCATTTCTCCTATCCTTTTATAATAGCTGATAGCTGTATCCGACTAACGCATATTTATGTTTCTTATTTTTTAAAAGGTAATTTTAAAACATGTAAATCTTTCCATATTTCTTAAATTCCGTGATCAGTGCAAGTTAATTTCAATTGGCATACATCATTAAACCACCACGCAACAGCCAACATGAGTTGGGTAAAATACTAACTTCTTGTATTATACAAGACTCCTCGTCCTCCTTATATCTCCGGTCCTAATTCTCTCCTTGAACTCCTAAAACCCCTCATCAATGGCTTCATCTAAATTCTCCGATCAACCCCCTATCCCCTACGACCCCCTCCCCTCCTATCCACCCCAACCACACCAACAACCCCAATACATTATCGTTCTACCTCAATACTACCGTACCCCTCGACAATTCCTCCGGCGACCTACCCGTCGCTACGTTTATTGCGCCGCCGTGTTCATCCTCCTCTCCGCCGCACTTTTTTTTCTATGGCCCTCTGATCCGGAACTCTCCATTGCTCGGCTCAAGCTCCGGCACCTTAAAGTCCATTCATTCCCCAAAATTGCAATCGACGTTACCCTGGATGTCACTGCTAAGATTCGTAATAAGGACTTTTATTCCGTCAATTTCCGTTATGTAGTGATTTCTATCGGGTATAGGGGTAAGCAGCTCGGGCACGTTATATCTGATTATGGTCGTATTAAGGCTAGGGCATCTTCCTATGTCAACGCTACGCTTGAGCTAACCGATATTAGCATTTTCTCTGATTTAATTCCATTGATTGAGGATTTGGCTAGGGGCTCTATTACTTTTGATACTGTTACTCAGATTGGTGGTGAGCTTGGCTTGGTCCTCTTTGATATTCCCATAAAGGTATATTCTTTCAACTCTACTATTGCCATTGCATAACTTAATTGATATCTCTTTCCATCATTTTTTCGGATTGGATATTAGTTTAGCTACTGTGTAAACTTGCTTGATAAATGATATACCCGAAGCACCCAAGGATGTGGCTTAGTAGTCAATGATGTGGGTTAAAGAATCAAGAGGTCTCAAGTTTAAATTCCAACAGTGACAAAAGCACTAGGTGGATTTTTCCATCTGTCCTAGCCTTGTGGTGGGAGGTGGCACGTATCCCTGGAATCAGTCAGGGTGCGTGCTAACTGGCCTGGATACCACGTATATCAAAAGAAAAAATTAGACAGTGTTAGCGTGGAGAAACTGTCTTTTGGGTTAACGGGATTGGAAGTTCATTATGTGTAGATATACATGGGTAAAGAAAAAGACAGCGAATAAACTTTAGTGAGTAATTTACATCGGGGAACTATGTCAATACATGATTTTGTTTTCGTGTGTTAGGATATCTGAGGTATTTCTTGAGAATGGCACTCTTCAGTCTGATAAATGCTTATTTTGTCTTCTAAAAGATCCCTTGTTCCTGTATTCTCTCTTTGTCCCAAAATGTTCTTTATCCCATGCTGTTGTCTAATTTTGTTAAAAGAAAAGTTTTTGCATATGCAAGTACCATTAAAAAAAGTTTCAAGAGCCTCATTTAACTTTTTCTCCATACAAGTTCATCTTTTATGAAATTTTACAATAAAAACCATGATTCGCCCTTATGTGTTTCTCAACTAATACCAAAATTCTCATATTTTTAACCCTTCTCCTAATAGTCATGCATAATAGAAGTGAACAACCTTGTTGCACCAGAAGAAGTGATTTGATACTTGACATTACATGGTAGCATGGTTGATCATTTCCTTGCATGACATATTAATTTCTAAAATTTCTCGTTTCCCATGGTTAATGGTGTTATTGTTTTGAGATACTGTAGTGAACCCACATGTTATCATTGTCTACTTGATGTCAACTAAGAAAATAGCTTTATCAGGAGGATAAACTATGCTACTGACTGTAGAAGTACTAGGTACAAGAGAATGGTCGTAAGATTTATGTCTTCTATGGATCTGATTCTAACAGGATTAATGGTTGTTTCATGTCGGTATTCTGTATTCTGCATCTTCTTCGCTGCTGTTGGCTCGATTTCTCTTTCAAATATCTCATCTTGAACAATGAATGCTATCGAGATCACCAGTTAATTGATGACCTTGAAAAAACTCCGTCTTTGATGGGCTTTCTGCTCTTTAGTGCCAGTAAGCGAGAATTTTCATCCTTAATGATAAACTATATTTGGATCACCAGTTAATTGATGATCTTGAAAACTCCGTCTCTGACAGGCTTTCTGCTCTGTAGTGCTAGTAAGGGGGAATTTCCTTCATCTCATTTCTCTACAGTAGTAATCTAGTCCCAGCATAAGAATCTAATAGAACTGAAGAGTAATGGACTTCCACATTCTTCCAATGCTACTAAGTACTAACAGACATGCAAGTTATCAGGAGGGAAAAAGAAGTATTCTAGATTCTGGCAAATCAGAAGCTCCTAAACTTGTTGACTATGCAATATTCTAAGCTCTTAAAACTTTTTTTCTGGTGAGAGGGATCGCTTTTTGGTTGGAACCCAAGTTTCCAAAGCTCCCTTTCTTCTAAATGCAGTATTCAGGTGATGGTCAGTTGGACACAGTCACGCCTGAAAGTGCATGTCAATACTGTTCATTGAGATATTCTAGTCTGTAAATCAAAATAAGATTTTAATATATTTTCATCGTGTTCTTTCAGGGAAAAGTGGTGTGTGAAATTGTTGTGGACACACGCAATGAAACAATTTCTCATCAGAACTGCTACCCTGAGGTATGATATTTTGTTCTGTGTCCTAATGTCTAGCTGGTATTTGTTTTGTCGTAGATCAATCAAAATAGGAGTATTACTGTTAAGCTTTTAGCTACTTCCCAGAAGTTTCTGCTCAAGTACTCTTTGCTATCTTATAGAACCCCACATTGTTATGTGAAAGCCAAAATGTACGATAGCTGTTGCTCATGTACCATCATATTTATAATGTAATTGCCCGGAAATAAACATTGTTTGTCTTTTGCTAACAGTGACTCGATTTGTGATGGAATTGTGAATTAATGGAAATGGATAAGAGGACAAGTATCCAAACTCTGCTCGAGGCCTTGTAAATGCTCTATGATCTTTATGGAATTGGTGTGCGTTTGATTACGTTTCAAGGGTTTCGATTATCCCAAGTTTTAGTGAACTGCATATTGGGCTCCCCATTATTGTAATTATCAAGGCTTTTCGTGTTTGTGGGGAACAACATTCACACGTCTGACGTGTTCTTTCTGTAATACTAGTAGCATGTACCATTTGTTCTAGGAAAACCATGCCAATATAACGACATAATACTCCCTGTGTCTCAAATTATTTGTCGTACTTTCTAAAAAGTAATCGTCTGAAATTATCATTTTAGTAGTTCAAGATAATTTATCATGTTTCTCATGATTTCACCTTTATAGTAATTGTACTTGAAGACTACATATACCTCAATTATGCAGTGATGTTATGATTGTTCAATTAGGATAAAATAGTTAAACTTCCTCCTAATTAAGGTTTATTAAGGTACATTTTTTTTAAAATCACGATAGATAATTTGAGGTAGTACACTCTGCTTTGAGGGTACGATGCAATACAATGAGCACGACATTGCCCCTACCCTCTTAAATCCCTTTACAATATTCCATGAGGCCCCTCTCCTATTGAGATGATTCTATGTTAGGCAAGTGGTACACAAACATTAACTCACATGTCCTAAATGAAAATCTTGCAACATCTATAACAGGCTTTTAAGAGCTTATTTTTCTGATATATCTTCAATTCAATAAATAAATTACAAAAAGTTAAAAAGAGTGTCTGATTAATTTTTAAAAAAGTTCAATTCAATGAAATCCAAAACGAAAAATTACAAGGATAATTTTAATTTGTACAGCGAAATTGTGACAGAAGTAGCCTAAGTAATTAGGCTTTGTGTCTGAGTCGAGCAACCCATTTATAATCGTCACGATGATGCCTGCATCTAAATGAACCTGGATGGATTGTGGGGGAACAAACACATTCAAACTTCTTCGTTCCAGCTCCTCTTATGCTTACCTGCAGGACCGGATACACATTATGTGTAAAAATCCAATAAATATTAGATATGAAATCAAAAAATTTAAATCTTGAATCCGTCTCTACTTATAAGTACCTGTGCCTGCACAAGAGAAAGATATCGTCCTCGATGTTCTCTTTTGTCAAGGTTACCATCCCAATAAGGAACTTCTGAGTAGCACATCTTGTATATGATGAAATAGTGGAGAATAATTCACCAGCACCAACAATATATAACCATGTTAGTATCGTAATTTGCGAGGAAGGAGAAGAAAAGTAGAAAAGTGGAAACGTATAACTAAAAAAAGAAGCTTTAGATTGATTCATACTTTTCACGGATTAAGGAATTTATTTTCTGAA